TTATGTTTGGTAGCATTGTTCTCTATCTATAATCTTTATACTGATTTCAATCTTGACTTCCAAGGTCATTTGACGAATGTCAAAGATCAAGACATAGAACATGGTCACGCCATGACAAGGTTAAACACCGGGTAACAAATATTTCAATCCACGCACAACTATTGACTTCAAATCATCAATCACTATCTTTTACATTGAAAGGAATATTTCAATAGATATTTAATTACGTGTTACTAGAAGTTCATTGACAATTTAATTATAGTTTTGTTACACTTGAAATGAATAGTTCTTGTTGATATAAGATTGTTGAATTATGGTAAATCTACTTAAGGAAGATGCTCCGGGTATTGATGATAATGGTTAAGGGTACGGATTACCGATCACGTGGTCGGTTTGAATCCCGCCTTTCGATTATTGTCGTAAACCATATCCTAGCACAAGCATAGAGTTTAACTGGAATGGTATAAGTAATATTAGTAAATTAATCTGCTAATATTTAAAAAAAAAGACGTGGGGATCGTAGAGTTTCGAATAACTAAGTTCCATCCAAATCTTACGCCCAGTATATAGATAATCGTTGTACGCTGACTGCAATCAAGTAACTATATTAATAATTTAAACAAATTTAATGAGGTCTACGATAGTTTTACTTGGTACAGTACAATGTATACAGAGCGTTAGAGTTGAATCGCTATTGTATTTGACAAGGTGAGTCTCGTTGCGAAACCGCAAAGAATCGAAAACATAAACTGAATCGTTCTCAGAGATAATAGACGTTTGTCATGCTTTTTATCAGAGGTCCACAATGTCGCAACTGATTCATAAATATAGATTCTTTAGAGTTATAGTCAATAATGTTAACAGCAATCTAACCCACCGCCCTAATCCGATTCACAGGGTAGGCAGGAATTACGCATATTTGGCGCGGTTCTGGCATATCTTTTTCGTCTATTCCACATTCCTAAATATACAGTTTCTCGTTGTTACGGTTGCTCTAAGTTCCACCCTATATGATGACGTCACGGAAAACTCATTGTTAGTATGACAATTGGGATAGACCGTCTAACAAGGAAAGATAATTGTGACCATCTAGAGATGGATGGATAGAGTGGTAGACCACGCACTTTCACAACATAAATTCTGATAATCTCCTTTCTTTCATTATTTGAATATCACATATTCAACTTTGGGTAATATTTGTGAATGTAAATTTATAAACTAATTGAAAATAAAGTCTAATAAAAATAGGTGGTTACTTAATTTTGTTCATTGATAATTTAGAACAAAGTAATTTGTAATCAGGTCATTGCCGTTTTAATGGTAAAAATACTTCACGAATTCATTGCTTATAGCTTCTGACAGTTCATTGATACGCAATAGATTTTTTGTCTATGATTCATGAGTAACGTATTTAGGTTACTAAAATAAAACGACAACTCACTATTTAATTACAAAAAATATGGAATATTACTATATTGGTCAATTTTTACCAACTAATTGTAGGAGTAAATTAAAGAATTTTAAAAAATTAATTTAAATGTAAATACTAATTACAAGTATTCTAAATGAGAGTACTTTAATGGTAGTCCACAATTATCTGTCCGTTTGGATAATTGACAGGTTCTAGTACATGTATGTAATTTAAATTGGCCCGTAATCTATACTTATTAAATTCAACCACCGATTCATTAAGTACCCTACTTTTTATGCAAATCTACGATCACAAGTCCTTCGCAATCTCGAAGGAAAACTAGCCTACGCTAACTCGTGATCGAATCTACTATCTAGAGTAGTAAGTTATCGATTTAAATCCCACTTTCACTAGCGCGACTAATCTCAAGTCACTGCGCGCGGCCTTCATACCATACCATTAGCATGCCCAATCTTACGTAGTCAAAGTCGGGCAGCTAGTTGCTTAGTGGAATAGAGGTTTTATCTAATTAGGTCCCGAATGACAATTGTGATACAAAGGAGATAATAGATATGAACGCGCTCGATGTTGTAGCAAGTTCGCCAAAGTAGCAACCGATTCAACTGTCCATTTCGCTGTTGGTTGCTTAACCTCGACAATTCATTTTACCATCGACGAGTTAAAATTTATATCATGTTACACATAATTTTAAATTTTGATTGCCTCGATATTTGTGTGCTGCTAAACTGGAACGCTGGACCGATTTGGACAGGACTTTTAGTAGAAGACTTCAATAAGGAGGAAGTTTTCATTTTGTATGTATATTTTTTGTTACTTCGTAACTCCGCTCCTGGTTACCTAATTTGATATTAGAGTAAATAATTCTGACCAATAGTTTAGAAGATGTTGAAGAAAAATATACTACTAAATTAAATAATTAAAAGTTTTATGTTATAATGAATCGAAGCGTAAAGTTATTTAACGAAAAAAATTACAAAATAATGTCATCACGACTAAATATTAGCATTAATTGATTCATGTTGTTCATTAAAATAATATAGTATATCAAATGCTAATAAAAAATATGTCAGTATAAATTAGACTTAACTTTCAATGAAAAAAATGCACATATGTTTTTAACACAATGAACGATATGTAAATGTGAATAATTACTAATTGTTTTAAGGAGTAGGTTTACATGATCTAGATAAAGTGCATTCGATCTGAAGCGATTTCATAATAAAGTCCAAAAATGTATAGAACTGACAATAACTTTAGTTACGTCACATATTAGTTCTATATATTTTTGAACTTCGTAATAGAATCGGTTCGGAGCGAATACACTATTCTAAGTCATGATATCTGATTCTATTGTTAAATAAAAAATTGGTTGGTTTCATATCGATGATTAAAAATAAGGGTTTAATATGCAAATATATTAAACACACAAACAGATTCGGAGTATCCAAGTTAATTATTCAACAAATAAAATTCTGAAATAAAAGGATCTTTTCTTTTATTTACACTAATTAACAAAAATCAGCGACCAATGCTTTATGCAAACATGTGTCCAAAAACATGACAATTTATGCGTGTTGAAAACTAAGTATTTATTGGGACATGAATAATTTGTCAAAAAAGTGCTAAGTGCTAAAAGTAGTTAACTTTCACTAGCCCAAATGTCATTGTTTATGTAAACGAAGTTTTTTTTGTTTCTAACGTTGAACAATTTTTGACTTAATATTAATACTGGCAACTTACAATTTAGTACATTCATAATGCATTCGTCAAAACTTCAGCGCATTGTATAACCAAGGTAACGACAGATACGAATACATTTTAATAAGGTAGTTAAAGTTTGTAATATAAAATTGTCGTTCGACAGTTATGTAAGACCTCTATAGTATAAATTGTACATTAATGAAATACGCACTCGTAAGCAAATAGAGCGCATAACTCGATCTATCTCGGACAATTCCACAGTGAATTACGATAACATTCTCTAGCTGAATAATTTGTAATCACATTGGTGAAGTAGTGAACGGTGATTTATAGCGGCAACTGGCTAATAAATATCATTAAAAATAAATCCAAATAGTATAAGCAATTAAATTAAAAAATAAAAACAAATGTTGGAAATGACTACTGATGTGTGGGACAACCCTAAGACATATCAGTCCATTCTTCTTTACCTTTACGCATGATATGCAGCTTGAATATATATATATCTGCACGGGAAAATAGAACTAAGAAATCATCATCAAACTGCCCTTATCCCTATGGAGAGTCGGTACAGTAGGTACTACTCCTCTATACATCTCTATCAGCCGTCATATCTAAATCTACTCCCTTCCTACGCTTATCCTCTTTGAAACAATCCATCCATACTTTCTTTGGTATCATCTACTTGTTTTTTCTAAAATGAAACTTAGAGATAAGAATGAAAACATAGCCTTATATCACTTGTAATTTTTTTTAAAATTTGGAATTAGGTAAAAATATAAAATGGTTACCCAACCAACTATTTCTTTTAAATAAATCTATCGAAGTATTTATTAAATTACGTTTTTCGAAATAATTTAAATTTTATGTAAATAGTTTGCCTTTCGAAAAAACTTTCGTTTTTATATTGAAGGATTTTTTTATATTTATTTGATGTCTATGAATATATTATGAGAATTTTGAGTAATACATGCATCGGACCAGGACGAATAAATTTAAAATACATAATGTGATGAAAAAGTGATTTTGAAATTAACCATTAAAGTCTTCATATAATTTACTTGAATTAAATAAAAAGTAAACTTTAACTTTATTAATAAAAATAAATTCCAACAAGTAGTGTTTTCGTAAGTCGTTTTGAGAAAATGAATTTCGCTTCAGTTATAAATCTGGAGCCTAAGGAAAATATAGAATATATTGCGTCCCGAAGGTCTAATTTAGTCCTCTTTCCCTTCCCACCCTTTTTCTTATAAGGAAAGAATGGGAAGTGGAAGTGGACTTTCCGGATGAGTTTGCATGGAAAGGGAAAATATTTTCTTTCTGTGCATCTTCTCCTCCGTCGATTAAAGGTAGGTAGGTAGGTAGGTAAATGGGCAACGGTCACTTCGCTATTTTAGTGATTTCAAGTGGCCACTCGCTCGTTTGCCACCTTATGATATAAAAGATTATCTAGAACTAAAATCTAAATAGATCAAAATTTATTATTACTGTCAACATCAGTAAAAAAATGTAGGTTCATTAGTTATTTGTTAAATGGTTAAAATGGAGCTATCAATTAAAAAGTTTATAATTCTCAAATGGCAAAACAAAATGGCCTATATAATGAACATTACTCCACTGCGCTGTCTCTGGTGGCAAAGGTCAAGCAAAAAACTATTATACATAGTTTAGTCACGAACAACTGTTTCCTTTTAAGTTACAATTTAAGTGTAATAAATTGTGCTAAAGTTCAAACATGGCCGTATAAGGTATAGTAACAAGTTATTAAGTCACAACTCTATAATATAGCCAACTTTCACATATTAATAATCATAATGTCATGTTTGTTTTTTTTTGGAAATAAATCCAGTAACATTTTATATGCTTAGTTCTTTTTGGAGATTTCTGATATTTCAACCGTTTTTATGTTACTTGTTTTCATCTTGGTTTTGCATCTGTTGACAGCCATTTCGATCTAATTGGAAAAGGAAATGTTTTTATACAGGTGTTTTGGCGGTGGACACTCAAAGTTAAGCTTTCAGCTGACAATTGATTGTTTGATAAATAGATACTACAATAGATTTAATAGATATAGACTCATGTAGTAACTGTTTTGAACTAAACATTTTACTCAACATCTTATTATCCGTTATTTATGTACATAAATATTGTAACATATACACAAGTGTCAACGTATTTAATTTAATTTAAAGTTTGTCTATCTAACTAATATTATAAAAGCGAATGTTTAGATGGATGGATGGATGGATAAATGGATGCTTGTTCAAAAGTATCTGCAAAACGGTTGCATGGATCTTGCTGAAATTTGGCGCAGATATAGAACATAATCTGGAAGAAGGCATAGGCTACGTATTATTATTATTTTTTTAATTCAAGCGCGTGTACATTTCAAACAACAGACTACACATGATAAGTTTTTTATCTGCATGGAATTGTTAAAATGGTTTATTACTATTAATACCATTTATGGTATTTTGAGTGAAGCCATAAAGTTTTATGAAATCTATGGCACAATGCAGTACGCGTAGTTGACTGTCAACGGTGCCGTGTCGCAAATGTTGCCAGATTCGTGACCGAACATGAATGCCCGGAAGCCCCGTGGTCCACTTCCAACATATTTTCGTGGTCACAGTTAATACAAAAGATTTGTGCAATATTAGATTGTCATTAAGCATTAAAAGTTCCGATGGAGTGTATAGAACAGGATATGCGTAAGGCATGAATTATGACGGTTGATAAAAATGTATGGAAGTTTTTTTGGGAGAAGTAGTAGAGCAGGCAGTAAGTACAGGATGATTAAGACTTGGCTGATTAAGAAATTTTCTCTTGATGTTAGTAATGAATTTAAAAAAAAATATATCGATTCTAAGAAATTTACATATTATAGCGACATAATAAAACTATAGGTATCATATAATACTATAAAAACGGCTTGAATGTTGTAGGTGCCTAATTTTAATTAACAAAAATCATTTCAAATTACGGTTTCGTTATTTTATGTAAAATTAATTGGTTGAGTTTTTGTGATTGATTTTAAAATTTAATTTAAATTTTATATTTCTTCTTTATTTTTGAATTCGATGATTAGTCTGCTCTGCAACATTTCCAATAAAAGTATACCTTAATTAACAAGTCAAAAAAAGGCTTGGTGTAAATCACAAACAGGATATTGGTAAAATTCTTATCTCTACGCATTAAAAAAAGTTACTTAAGTTCTTCCTGTCGCTTTACGCATTGCGTGTGTAGCAACTTTTTTTTTCTCACGACAGCCTACAAAGTACAGTTCCCATCCATCAAAGCTAGCTCTCAACGATTATGCAAGCGGCTAAGTGATTGTGGCGACACGCGACACCGAGAAATTGATTTAGTTGATTACCAGATTACCGGTCTGTTGAGTTTCTTGAGTTAAATGTTGTTTGAATGATACTCTTCTATTCGGTCATCATACACGGATCGTGTGTTCAAGCAGTCAGTACCGAAACAGATTATAGCGGGCAGTGTTAGTCGATCAGCGGCTCATGTTCGCCATACATGCATCTGTTAGTGTATGGCAGCCCTGAAAACAACGAGGCACATAGTTATTAAGGGTAAATAAGGCTTAGAAATAAATAATTTTATTTATATTGTAAATCAAAAACAATAACCACGTAAATTTCGATTGTAAGTTCTATGAGAACAACCATCGAAAGTCAAAAAATTCTTCATCGATTTTACTTAACCAATATCTAGTGAATTGTCAAACTAATCTGTCTTAAATATACACACTGTAGTTTTGTTTTGTAGTTTATAATAGTATTACATTCACTAGTAAAATAAATAGATTAATTTAAACCAGACACCGGAACAATGAACACAAAAACGTTAATAACTCTCAGATTTAAAAATTAAAGCAAAATACCTGATATAAGTATTCGGGTGTTTTAAAATAAAAAGGACTTTTTAAAATAAGAGAAACTAATTTTGTAATTAAAAGTCTTGTCGCGGCTGTGTAACAAATTTATCTTTGTAGCATTAAATTAGTACTTTACGCTTGAATTCAAAATTACTTGTTAAGAAGAAATTGATATTTAGTTGGGTAACCAAATTTTAATACTAAAGGCTAAAATTAAATTAAAAATTATTTTCAGACAGGTAGAAACAATCTAGAAGTTCTTTAGAGAATTATGAAGGGAAGGAAAGGGAGACGTTTTCCCTGCAGCGAGACCATTTAAACTATTAAAAAATATTATTAAAAGATAAGATGTAAAACTCTATATAATTAACAGGACGGATAAGTCAATACATGTTTAGGTGCATAGCTCTTAAATACGTAATATATTTAATTTTTTAAATTCCATCTCATAATTTTTCTTTCATAAGATATCGGATTTTCGAACTTCATTCTAAAGTTTCCTTTTCGAAAAAAAAAGGTTACCATAAATATTTATTTTATATTTTAATTGTAGTGAAAATAACATTTTAATAGTTCTGTACTAATAGAAGGTCGATTGCTATTATGCTCCAGTCAATGTTTCTAGTACCGGTCATTTATTAAGTATCGTAACTCAAAGAGTCAGCTATTGGCGTTTTAAACAAACATTACATTATATTGTTTTAACAGAGGGGTCAATAACCCGATAAATTTTTAACGTTCATATCCTTTATAATTCTGATTTAAATATGGAAGTAGAATTTGAACAATGACGTCACGAGTTAATTAATTTATACCTATACAAATTAATAATAGAATTAACTGGTTTAAACGACATTTTCTTTATACAAATAAGCAAAATTTCGTTCCAATGCAAAACTAACTTCGGCGTTTTGACAGAAGTTTATGGCAGTACACCATCTTGCAGTTGCGGTTTGAATCACAATTTCCTTAACATAAGGGGTAAGCCCCAAATGCCTATTTTGGATAAAGATATCCATAATTTTAAACTTTCATTTTGGGGAGTCCTTGGATCAATCGATCCCTTTTAGAAAAGGTCATTAATTACGCATCTCTGTTATAAGGGTCCCAAGTTTGTTCTTAGTACAGTACATTTACATCATCGCCGTTTAACAGAAAGCCATTATTCATCTCATTAAGCAAGCGACTATGTTGTTGTAAATTTAACCGTCCAAACAACACCGGATTGTCACAGCTTGAGTTCCAATAGAAGTGAACCAAATTTGACGCAAGAATATGGTGATGTTGGAGCAATCAGAATGTTTCACAACTTGCAGTTAAAATCAGGACAGTTCGGAAATGCAAATTCACTTTCTGTTTACCAATACAATATGCAGGATAAAACAAACCAAAGAAACGATGCAAAATTTGCAATAAGCTGATTGTTTAGACGACGCATCCGTAAAGCATATCAAGACGAGCACGATCTTCAGTAACGAAGTATGCGAGGAAGAAGATTGTTTAGAATCTAAGCTTAAAACTTACAAAGGCAGCTAACTTACAAGGACGAAATACGAGTAACTATAATAAGGAAAATGAGCGAAGTTTATACAAACAGTATATTGAGAAGAAAGAACTTTAGTGAAGATTTATGAACTAATGAATAGACGGCAACAATTATGTAAAATTAATCTGGTGTTGGAACTGAACATAACTATTTTTTTAATAAAGAAAATAAAAAAAAAAATCTTCACCTTTTATTTACTCACTCTCACTTATGTGAACTCTATCGCCAAAGCATCGTCATAATCTCCCTGTCATTTCTTTTGGCGCACCAGATATCTGTCCTCCATATCAACCTAATTACCGTCATATCAGTCGTCTCCCTCTTATTAATCATGTCACCTTTAACGCAATTCATTAATTTCTTTCTAGGCCTACCTCTACCGGTGTACCATCAACGCCCAAAACATTGAAATAAATATAATATTTCTGAAGTCACTACATTCATCTAATTCTCCCTAATCATTATCTTCGGGATAGCCTTGAGGTGTCTTGGTGTCTTTAAAGTACTCAGATATTGTTTAACATAAGGATATAATTTCAATCCTTTTTGTAAATGTTGGTTCGTGGGAACTCCTTGGTCGATTTGTTCGCACATTGTGTTTTGTCTATGGTATTGCGACTTACGTGTGGGCGTACTCAGGTGTTTGATATTGGCCTAACGATATTGTTTACTGATAAGAAACTGTTCCTTTAAATCATGGCTTTAAAATTAGTCTTCGCCTATTGGTCGTGAGTCGAACATAACGAGGGCTTTTTATTTATTTTTGATCAAAAATACTATTTTATTTACTATTTATTACTCTACATTAATTGTGTCAAATTTCAAGTTTATCCTTCTTCACGTAATTTCCTTACAAATGGGTACAAAGTTTTCCCTTCATAAGTTAATATCTATATTTTTCACTCCAACAAATTAATACATTAGAATTAAATAGCTGCAACTAAACTATTTGGTTATCGCTGATAATTGTAGAATATAAAGCTTTTTTCTCGCGTCTAATATACAATATAATAGTGTCATTACAATTTACTATTGTGGTTTCCAGGCGCAAGGTAATTGCGGACTCTGAATGCTCAAAGTGTAGAGCGCAGTTACAGCTTCCGTGAGGTTGCGACAGCGGTGAATGCTGTTTATTCGTTTGATCTATTAATTACCTCTGTAGGTACTTATTTTAAAGTGTTAGTCCAAACGTTTCCAGTTTCGTAAGCTGTAGTAGCGCTTGCCTTCTAAATGGTCTAGTTTCTAATTCTTTTCCATTATTAAAATCTTATCTGATCTTCATATTAATTAAAAACTTATACTAAGTAATTTATTTAATTACAGTTAAGCCTAAAAAGTGTTAAGTACTTGATGAATATGGCCATTTCACTTAAAAGTCTATTTCATAAATACATTGGATGTACACGACACGGCGTCGCACAGCAAAAAATGGAAAGATTTTTTTGTAAGGGAAGGGGTCAAACGAGTAGTGGAATTACCGAGGTGATTAACGACAACACTAGAGGAATTGCAACTCCGTTGCCGGTCTTTAAGGAAATGGTATGGTCGCTTCGCTTATTTCGCTTCATGAAGCACCCTAAGTCGTATTGGTTCACACTGGATATTCCAGATATGAATTTTTACCGAAATTTAATTCGAATATTATTGTAAAATAAACGCTTCATTAAACAGGAAATCGCACTAAGAGAGTTTAGTCCTCCTCCGTAATGACCTTGAGGATTGGGACACTTATAATTAGATATCTCTGTCACTTGGCGATTGCGTTATGTTGTAGTAAATGCTTGCTTTGCTCGCACCTGCCTCATTCATTCAACAGAAAAAGCTTGTTTGTTTCAAACCTGTCTGAATGATATCAATAAGGTAGTTGCTTTGATAGAGAATTACACTTACGAAACACGGAGTCCTTCTTTCGAGTTTTATCAAAAATGAACTACAAATTACTATATGTTAATAAGCGAAATAACAATAACAGTCATACGTTATGCAAAATATTTAAGCTAAATCCAAGTATGGTAAGAAATTCTTGCTACTCTCAGATTTCTCCCCGACGACAGAACCTCGATGACCTCCTGATAAAATGCAGTTATGTGTATAAAACTTGAAGCTCTGCAAAAACATTTTTTCCTTTTACCAAAAATTGCAAAACATAAAAATGCATGCAAAATCCGAGCATTTTCGGTATGATTGAATCAAGTAAAATTTAGTCGCAGAGAGAAAGATAAATAACTCATGATGACAAACACAATGGAAATGTTTTTTTTATATAATAAGGTGGCAAACGAGCGAGCGGCCACCCGAAATCGCTGAAATAGCGAAGTGACCGTTGGCCATAGACATCGCAATTGCATATGCGTTGTATACCTTTAATCGACGGAGGAGAGGATGCACTGTAAAAAAAGATTTCCATGCATCCTATCATACGGAAAGTCCACTTCCCATCTTTTCTTTATAAGAAAAAGGGTGGGAAGGGAAAGAGGACTAAATTAGGCCTCCGGGACGCACACTCAACAGACGAAACGCGGAATTGCTTCCACTTAACGCCTGTCTTCTGTATGGTATAAATAAAACATTACACATTACATTACAAACACAATGGAAATGCTTATTACACGTGACTTCCGATTAACATATGAGTTAAGGCTTTAAATGAACTTTTTATACCAAACAAATTCAGTCACAGTCACTTTGAATTACATTAGAATATGCGTATAATGACAATGCAATTCTAATGTATATAGTTAAGCAGTCCTTAGTGACGGTTCATTAAGCTTCGACACGAATTCGATCGAATGTACTACATCTATAGATCAGTGTTTTAGACCGTTAGCGTATTGGACTTAAAACAGGAAGAGTTTCACATGTTTCTAGGGTTCTATTACTGGGACTTGATTATTGGATTGAAGGCAATCAATAGGGACGGATTTATTTCACAAGTAACCATTCGTCACGACGTTCGTTACAACGCCATCTAGTAATGGAAACTTGCAACAGAGGTCTCTCGATTTTGAAATAAAACGTGACAAGAGAACAGCTAACGCCATCTAACAAAAACGCAATGGTTTCATCCGCCATCAAAATGAATTGATTTGACGAAATAACTGATGTAGCGATATCGTTTTTTTCTGTAATTTTTTAGTACTTGTCAATGGGATTATTATTTCAAGAGAATTTTGAAGGACATATATTATTATGATTATTAACGTATTTCTTTTTATATCTAAGGATATTGTATATGAGGAAATACGTATTGATTTAACGTATTGCGGAATTGCTTCCACT